ATATGTTAAAAAATTATATATTTATATGTCGGTTTGGTTCGAATTTTCTTACTCAATACCAAACAAAATCAAACCGAACTTAATCTGATTTTTTAATTGGTTTGGTTTGACTTTTCGAATTGATACGGTTTTCTAATTCGGTTTGAACACCCCTAACAGAAAGTATCAAATACATTATCTATTTTTAATATACCGGATTTGTTATTGTTATTGTTGAATATGGTGTTCAGTAACTACCTGCTGTATAATATACCAAAAGAACTACTACATTATTTACATATTCCTAACTCTGAAGTGTACTAATGAATCTTACGAGATTTACACCACTATATACTTTCTGCCAGCAACGAGTTCTGCTTTGTCTTAAAAACATTTAAGATTCCTCTCTTTTCATATAAGGCATAGTTTCCACACTAAAAATGGTGCACTTAGTAACGAATTTAACTTAAAAACTAAAGTAATATTTGAAGCTTTTTTCCATGTTGAACCGTACATATAAAAAAGTTTGACAAGAATAGTTTTATATATTCTCTCTTTAAACTTTTATTTTCTTTTAACTTCAAAAAGAGTTTTAATGGTTAGTCATTAGTTTAATCAGTTTTTGACTAAACAATAAGAACATTGATGATAATTAGATAAGAAGTTACAGATGGTAAAAAGAAAGTTTTAGAAGCTAGGGTAGTGTTGATGACAAAATGATAGAAGTAAAAAGGGGCCAATTGGTCAAGACACTCAAAATGTTTTATATTGGAGGTGAGCTGGTGCTTTTGCAACCAATCTATATCTATATCTATATCTATATCTATATCTATCTATATTAATATAAAAGTATGAATACAATGTTGGTCGATCAAAATAGCCAAAAATATATAAAATTATAGGTTATTTTGGTAAAACGTAATAGAAATAGGTTCTAATTAAATATTACTATATTTGAATTTTGGTACCTAAAGATCAACTACTAATTTATCTACTTGGATTAGAGAAGTGCATAAACAAAACTCATTCCTAATTATACGAGATTTATATAGTCTCACGTTTCTTTAATTTCATTTATAATACCGATTTTTTTTTTTTTTTTTTGCAAATTCTTTGTGTAAAATTAGAATATAATAGGAGAAAAGGAACCCAACAATAGATTTGTTCCTCTACTTCTTAAGTATAATAAGTTCTTTAATAAATCTATCATAATTTGTTTCAAAACAAATTGAAATATTTGTGAAAATCAAGAGTTTAAATAGGAAAATTGTGTCTCTGAACCTGCACTTAATTTAGAAATTATAGCTGTGAACTAATTAAAGACCATGAACTTAACGTGTGCTGCTGCATGTCATGCTCGATAGGAAACAATTTAAAATTTTAGAAATTTTATTTAAGATGACCTAACACCATTAACTATCTACAATATATATAGAGTATTGATTTATTTAAGGGAGAAGAAAATTACGAAAGAGTCAAGGGACATTCCTGTCAATTAATACTGGAAGTATAATAAATTTTTGAAGTCGAGTCTAAGAGTCCGTTGAATTGAAACTTTTGAGTACTCAATTATAAAATAAATATTCTTTCACACGCTTAAAAGAGTTTATAAGGACATCCAACTTTAGTATAATGAATAAATTAAGATAATGAAAATTTCAGCATACCAATTGAGCCGCTGAGCATGTGACACAAACTTCTAAGAATTAAAATTGGCTCCTAATAAAAAGAAAATACAAATCGTAGGACAAATTGTTAACTCTAGGAATTAATCAAGCATGCAACCTTGTAGCTGGGGCGTGGGACTTTTATGTAGCTACAATACTGCTTCAACTGAATAAATAGATGCCATTACTTAAATGTGCATATGAGAATAATTAGAATTTAGTTTTCAAAGGAAAGCAAATGTATGAAAACAACTAGTTTAAACTAGGCATACATTAATTATCATAATGAATCATAAACACAAGAAAAATTTACTTATATCAACTTGGTTCATCTTTTCTTAAATTATTGAAGAACATTAGTTTTAATAAGAAAATGATATATTAATCGAGCTTAATCTATTAAGACTTAAATCTTAATATCATAGGTGACAGAGAAAGAAAAAAATTTGGAAAGAAGTATAGTAAAGCATGTAGATAGGCTGCAAGGCTAACATAAATTGTTGGCATGTTTAAATACCAAAAACTTCTTCTCATTCTTATAGTAAAAAGTCACAAAGAGAAACAAGTTCTTATAGTTCAATCTTCAAAGTATTCTCATATGCCCACAGAAGTCTTCCTTGTTCGCTTTGTTCGTATAAATAATTTATAATATAACAATGATAATCAAGCATACAAGGTACTAATGAGCTAAAAAAGTGATGTGTTTAATATATCCTCATAAGAGATAAGTTGCATGAACTTAGCATTGTTTACTGCTACTAAACATGTCTATGGTATTGTACGCTTCTAAATTTATTTTCTTACTTAACTTTTTTTTTCATCTCTCTTTTCTTGGTTATTTTTTACGTGTGAAACACGTACATAAAAACTAGTTATAAGATAATTACAAGATAGGATTCGTTTAGTGACCAAAAAATATTAAAATAAATTATATTGACCACAAGCACACATATCAATGGAATCTTGGAAAAAAGTCCAAATTTACCCTTCTACTTTTGAATATTGTCTATATCTAATCTCCATTATACTATTCGACCAAATGTACCCCTATCGTTATACTGAGGGGTAGTTTTTAAAAGTTTACTGATGGTAGGGATAAATTTGGCCGGATAATATAACGGTAGGGGTAAATTTGGCCAAATAGTATATCGGAGGTTAGATGTAGACAATATTCAAAAGTAAAGGGGTAAGTTTGGACCTTTTCCCCTAAAATCTTTTATGGCATTTATATATCAAAAAAGGGCCATATATGTCTCTCTACTAGCTAATATAAGTCATATGTGTCCCCCGTTATACTAATCAATTAAAAAAGGACCCTACCATTTGTGCCCAAAAATTAAAATGTCCCTCCGCCATCTACTCCTAAATTTAAAATAAAAATATCCACGTGTCAGTCTTTTATTGGATGAACTAATCCCACCTGCTAATGTTTTTAATTGACCCACTGACCCGACTCATTTTATCCGACCCACACGATCTTTTAATTAAAAAAAGAGCCCAAACACACCAGTCTCTCATTTCCTTCATTCAACCAACGTGATCAAATTAGGGTTCTTAACACTACTTATTGTTAGTCGATGCTGCCGATTCAAGAATCATTTTTCTGAAAAGGTATGTTTAACCCGTGTAATTTTGTTTGTTTATCTCCCTTCTATGTGTATTTATCTTAGTTTATTATTAGGGTTTTATACTCAAATCATTTTGGGGCTTTAATATATTTTGTATTCTTATGTCTTAGTTTAAGATGTTATTTTTTGACTTTTTTGTCTTATTTTTTTGTGTGGAATGTCTTTGCATGTGTTGTTTTAGTCTTTTTCTGTTAGGATTATTGATGGTCGACAATATAGTATGGATTATTTTTGTCTTTTTGTGATCCCGAATAAACTTTTGTGATATGTCTTGTTTCGATTTTGTCTGTGCTGGGTTTATGTGATTTTTGTCTCTATTGGCATATGTCTTTGAAATTTTTAAGCATTAAAGTTGGTGAGATATGAGAATGTGGGGTTTCAATTGTTCTTTTTAGTCATTTTCTTGTCTAGCATATGTCTGTGCTGGGTGTGTTGAATGTTGTTCCCTCACAACTGAAATCTGTGAATATTTTAGTGCTAGTGGGCCTTTACTATTTGAATTATTTGTGATCCCCTAGTTGTTACATGCTGTTTTTGTTCCCCTAAATCCATACATGCTTTATAATTTTGATTTTTTAATTGCTTAGTTATTGTTCTTTATTAATATTGTTTATATTATTCAAATTTTTGTTGTCCCCATTTATGATTCTTTATTGTTTTATTTACCTTTACAGAATATCAAGGATGCCATTGGTGGACCTAATCTTGCATTATGGTGGGGACTGGATCACAAGCCCACATGTCTTGTATTCAAAGAAATTATCCCATATCAAGAGAGGTTATGATTCTGAACTTGTATCGTACAAATATCTAGTGGAGTTATACACTAATGAGTTAGAAAATGTGGGTGTTCAATAACTAATTGTGAATGGTCCATCTGGTAATTATTATGAGATTGAGAATGATGTTGGTATAAGACATATGTTGTGTCTAATCTCTGATGAATTTAAAACTCTTCATTTCTATACTGTAGATGAGTGTGAGCAGTCTATCAATGTGACTAACATAGTCCATCATTCTGAGTCTTATCCAGTATTAAATAAAGTTGGTACTGATTGTAGTGATTCTGAATCTGAATCTGATTCTAATTCTGGAGAGGTAGAGTATGGTAGTGATGAATTACAAACATTTCTTAGTCAAAAGAAAAGAGAGATTATGCCAGGTTTGGATAATTATAAGGAATTGTATAAGAGTATAGGCTTTAAGGATATACCTGAAGCAAGAAAATATCTTAACCTCTATGCCTTAGCAAAAATAAAAGGAGCTCAAATTAAAGAAAAATTGTACAAAAAGACTAAGGTATGGATGTGTATTTGACTGCCTCTTTGTTTCATATTACTGGAGAAGGGAACCTTCCTGGTGTTAGGGTAAAGACCTTAAAAGCAAAATATACCTGTGATGAAGCATTTGACAATTTTAGGGTTGATTATTATACAATAGCAAATTAATTCAAGAAGAAGGTGTAAGATAATCTAAAGTTTAAGATAAAAGAGATGAGAGTAGAACTGAAAAACACATTCAGTATTAATGTTAGTTATAGAAAGTGCGAAAGGGCTAAGAGGTTGATTTTAGAGAAACTGGATGGTAGCTTCAGAGATGATTACAATAAAATGAGCTTAGAGTAAGTAATTCAGGCAATGATATAGTCACTAATTTGTCAAAGGATGCTCTTGCTCAAGGTAAATTTTTTTTTTTGAGAATGTATACTTGCTTCCAAGCACTGAAGATGGATTTTAGAGAAGGACTGAGACCATTTATTGGCTTAGATGGTACATTTTTGAAAAGAAAAGTAAAAGGTCAGTTGCTACTTGTTGTAGCTCTAGATGCTAATGATCAGGCTTATCCAATAGCATGGGCAACTGTTGATAAAGAAACCAAAAGAATTTGGACCTGATTCTTGGAATTGCTCAAAGGTCACTCGATCTCAAAGAGGGTGAAGAAATTACCTTTATGTCAAATATGCAGAAGGTATGAATTCTGTCCAGATATCTTTATTTCTTTCATCTGAATTTGTTGTTAAGTACTGCATGTTTGCTTCTATTCACTTTCATTATGTAGGGATTAATTGAGGCAATCCAGAATATGCTACTTGATTCATATCATAGATTTTGTGTGAAGCACATAGAGTCAAATTGGTACAAAAGATGGAGGACAAATGAGTTCAAGAAGTTCTATGGTGGAGTGCCTAGAGCTCTTATGAGGAAGATTTCAAGGACCAGTTGAAGAGTATTGGTGAACTGAGTAAGGAAGTTGTTGAATTATTGTTAAAGTATCCTCCCCAGGCTTGTTGTAGAGCCTATTTTGATACTCTGTGCAAGAACCAAAAAGTGGAGAATAACTTCACTGAATCTGTGAATGCATGGCTGGTTGAAGCAACGCAAAAACCAATCATTAAAATGCTTGAAGAGATAAGGATAAAATTGATGAACCAGTTGAGGGAAAGGGAGGAAGTTATGAGGTCATGGGAAAATGATTTCAGTCCACATAGTTTGAAGCTATACAATGAGTACTTGAAGATAGCTAATACTTCTTGTTATGTGGACAACAATGGTGACAATAAATCTGAAATCAGGGAAGGAACAAATAAGCACACTGTAAATATGGTGGTGAAAAAATGCACATGTAGGGGATGGGATCTTACTGGAATCTCATGCCCACATGCAATTAAATCCCTGCAATACAAAAAGTTGGAGCTTGTGAATGAAATCAACTGGTGGTACAACAAAGAAGCATATCTACTTACCTACAAGTACAAGTTGCAGTCAGTCAGAGGTGAAAAATTCTGGAAGGTAGATCCATCGCAAGCAATGGAACCACCTGAGTTAGTCAAGATGGCGAGGCCTAAAATCAAGAGAACCAGACAGAAAGATGAGGCAATCAAAAGGCAAGGTGAATGCGCAAATTCAAGAAAATGGAGAGTAATGACTTGCACCAACTATGGAGAGGCAAATCATAATGCAAGGGGTTGTGAGAAGGTAATACCTCCAGCTTATCTAACTTATTTTACTTGTTAACAGTACTAACATTTACTTTATCTAACTGTTTTTACTTGTTAACAATAGCTATCCATGGCAAAAGGGGCAAGGAAAAATGCCAGACATCTAGTTGATGAAGATGATAGTGTGGGGCAACAATCAGAAGAAGAAATACACCTAACAGCACCCCAATCTAGTCAAGCAAGTTAGTCGAGTGTTCAAGGCTCAAATTTTGTGTTCATGCCTCTATGCACAGTCAATCAAGCAGTCCATTACCCTGACTTTAACCTCCATGAACTTGATCCAAATGTAGTTACAAGGCCAACAACTGTGTCAGAATCTAAAACAAGACTTCTGCAAAGTAAAAACCACCTCAAACTTCAAGTGTAAGGGTAATTTCCTTCACTGGTGATACAAATGGTGCCAGTCTTCCAAATCACTTCCTTTCAAACCACCAGGCCTCAAATGAAAGGGAAAAAGTGATGTAACTGGAAGCCAACTGGAGATGCAAAGCAAAAAGAAAGTGTATAAGCTGAAGCCAAGAAGGGGAAGCAACTGAAGTCTATTGTAATAAAACTAAATAGGCTATTTTTTGTGTAGTTTGTTGGGTTGTAATTACTGCAATGTGAAATTACATTTTCTATTATATAGTTTGTTAAGACTTCTAGNATTTGGGGCGTTACAAACTCGTAGCTCCATCACTAAATCCGCCTTGTCCTCATGCATGCTTTAGTAACATAATGATCGCTACGAACTCTTGGTTTTTTTTTTTTTTGGGGGGGGGGGGGGGGGGAGGGTATAATATGACATCCATGTCTCTACAAATCTGAATTATTTTGTGTAATAAAATATGCAGTTACTAGCTAAATTTGTTGTTTCACTTTTGAATCTGCAGTTTTGCAGTTAATCTGCAGTATGTTCATTATGTTGAATCTGCTGTTTTGCAGCTAATGTTGAATATTCAGTATGTGCAGTATGTTGAATCTGCAGAGTTTATTCATGTGCAGTATGTGCAGAGTTTGTTGAATCTACAGTATGTGCAGTTCATGCAATTATTGAATTTGCAGTTTGTGCAGTTGGTTGAATATATTATTTGTGTTAATATTGAATTTGTAGTTTGTGCAGTTTGTTGAATCTGCAATTTGAGACTTGCTATATGAACAACCAAATGATATGGAGCAACTTTAAACAATAAGACCAACTTAAAACTTCAACTTAAACGTGGAGCAATTTAAACTTCAACTTAAATCTATAGTAGAACCAACAAGAGCAATTAACATTAGAACTTAAACTTCAACTTAAAACATCAAGGTTACAATATTTGAAGTACTCTAAACAAAAGTGAACTCATATGATATATGAGCCTACATAATTTTTGGAATTACAAAACATCAAAAAAAGAGGTAACATTCCCTACAAAATACTTCAAGTATCATAATCAACTTCAATTCATTATCCTAGCAGCTAAAATTCTAACAAAAGAGGTACATAAAATGATAATGAAAATCTTCATCTTGAGGATTTTTTCTTCCAATTTAGTCACTTGAACATGGTTTCTTGCCTTCACGATGACCATTTTCTCCTTCAATTTATCACTTTCAATTTTAACATTGTCCAACGACGACTTCAAAGTACTGATTTTAACATTTGCCGCATCCAACTGAGACCTTAAATTATTGGTTACAACAAGCGCTCTATCTGGAATATGATCATCTGACCATTCCCAATAACCACATAAAGCTTACCTTAACACCAAAATACAATTCAAACAAATCAAAGGGAAACAATTCGTTAAATTATAAAAAATTTCAAACACGACAAAATTTAATAATAATCACTTACTTCTGAAGTGGTCAGCAAATTTCCCACAGTGGCACTTCCTCTTGGATGAAGAACTATTTTTTGACATGCCAAACCACATTTCTGGACAATATTTATACCCTAATAAGATCAAATAACTGATAATAAAAGAAATTGGAGTAGCCCTTTTCCTCTTGGACTCTTTCTTGAAGAACACTAATTTCGTCTCGTTGGTTGAATGAAGGGAATGAGAGACTGATGTATTTGGGCTCTTTTTTAATTAAAAGATCAGGTGAGTCAGATAAAATGAGCCGGGTTGGTGGGTCAATTAAATACTAATGGGTGGGATTAGTTCATCCAATAAAAGACTGACACATGAATATTTTTATTTTAAATTTAGGAGTAGATGGCGGAGGTATATTTTAATTTATGGGCACAAACGGTAGGGTCTTTTTTAATTGAATAGTATAACAGGGGACACATATGCCTTATTTTAGCTAATAGAGGGACATATAGGCCCTTTTCCGTTTCTATATAGTAGAAATTCAGAAAATAAACCATACTTTTTTGGGAGCCATTATGTTTTAGTTTCTTTCTTTGATGTATTAGAAAGCAAGTGTTTTAACAAAAAAGGGCAAAAATGCCTTTGAACTATTGGAACTAGAACAAATACCCTCTGTTGGTTCAAAAATGCCCTAAACTATTAGAAATAGGATATTAGCAAACTGACCCAATTATGCCCCTATACCATTAAGGGACTTCCATATCCCATATATCCCCTTTAAAATTTAATTCTTTGTTGAGAAGGGTTTCACCTTGAAAAAAAAGGGCACCCTGACCATCAAAGAATGTGGTGCGGTGGATGTGACTTTTCTTCCCTTAACCAGAGGTTTCGTGTTCGAGCTCTGGGTATGAAAAAATTCTTGGTAGGGGGTGCTTCTCCCCAAATGGGACCCTACATAACGCGAATCCGGATATAATCGGGCTTCAATGCGATTACCGGATATCGGGTGGAAAAAAAAAAAGACTACCCTGCCCACTAGATGTACCTTTTTATTTTTTAGCTTTTTCCTCCGTAGAGTTATTTGGAATTACATTTTAAGTGACCTAAAATGCCTTTTTTTAACCGTTAGTGGATCTCCAAAAAGAGTTTTAGAGAATTCACATTGTACCTTGACTCTTTAATTATTACTCTGATGAAACAAGGCTAGCAACTACAAATTGAATATGATTATAGACGACATTTTGCAAATGATGAACCACTCTAATATCAAAACTACACATTGTTTCGTTAGGATCGAAATAATTTGGTGTCATGCGGAAATTAGTAAAATAAATCTTGAACGACGATAAATGAGACAACAAACGAGAAATATACCAAAAGAGATACAAAAATTTAATGTGGTTCGGTCAACTAACCTACATCCACGGTGGATATGAACGATCCACTATATAAAAGAGAGTACAAAATATCGAGAGAACAACCTCACAAAGAGGCAAACACAAGTGGCACACTAACACTTGTTCCGAAAAGTTTTTCCCGTAAATAAAACTCTCAAACCTCTTATGGCTACATTGTGGATGCTACTGAATGAGCAGGAAAGATCCTCAATTTATAGAAGTCCAAACCTTTTCCTCCAAAAAAGGGACTAGCCAAATATGAGATATTTATAATTTCCTTCTAAAAGAAAGAAAACTCAATTATGGTAAATATGTTGCCCTTAATTTTCTTTAAAATATAGGACAACCAAATATGTAAGAAAACCATGACAAATATCTAACATGTTTTAGGGAGGCTAACCAGATGGTTGATCAACTGGCAAAACTTGCTACTAGCAGTCAGGATAGCTCCTTGTAACTCTTTTCTGCTGTTACTAGTTGGAGCAAAGGTTCCCTTCCATCTGGACAAATACCAACTGCCATGTATTAGGCTTAAATATGATAAAACAAACTTTTTTATTAGCTCAACTTAATTATACTCCATTAGAATTTTTCCGAGGGTTGAAATGTTTATAGTAGCTCCTCACTCTTTTTTGAAGGATAGGATTTTATCCTTGTGTTAATCTGTGGTAAGGCCAAGCCCTCCTCTTGTACTCTTTCTCATGATATATAACAGGTAAAGTAGGGTTGCTGTTCATGTAATTAGTGTCGTCTTCTTTGCTAAGCCAACCTCCACCAGGAGGACTAAGAACGACTTGAAAAGTGGCTGTTACAATCAATATATACAGTCGCTACTAGAAATGCATTTCTTGTGCCATCTGCAATTCCTTTATCCAAATCCACTCGTGTCCGCGCTGCTTGTCTACATTCCTTGTACTTGTTTGTGGTCAGAATAAATTGGGTGTGTGAAACAGCTCTAGGTTAAAATAGCAGCAAATATGGAACTTTGCCAGCAAAATGAATTGCCGGCCATTAGTTTTCTTCTTTTCATTCGGGCCAATTCCTCCAAATCAAACAAACGAACAATTCATCCAAATCGGCTGAAAAATTCCTCATAACCTAGTCATACACATGACATTCAAGTCTTTAAAATGTCCTTTAAGATAGCATAGCATACCATCAATAGTTTGTAGGAGGTACTGACGGAAAAACATTATTTCTATTAGACCAAATAATCTTCCAAAATGATAGACTTTAATTAAGAACATGCATGGGAATAAGACGTACCTCAACTTGACCTGTCTGTGCAGCAATATGCAACACTGTATTACCTCCATCCCAGTATCTCCTTGTTGTCTGTCCGAATCATCAAACCCATTAGCTGTCACGACCCAAACTCCCTCCGTATAACGTCGTGACGGCACCTAGTCTCTACGACTAGGTAAGCCTAACAAATTACGGAAAATAACAAAACGAAAGTAAAACTTGGCAACTAGCAGAAGTGGATAACTGAATAACTAGTAACAATGCCGCTCAGCATATACAATAACCAATATTCTATAAATACACAGTCTTCCCAAAACCCAGAACATCGTAAGTCACAAGCTACAGAAGGAAAATAGCGTCTCTATACACCAGAGTCTAATAAAAGGAATACAGGAAGTGTTTGACATAGGGGAGAATAGAGGGAGACTCCTATGTCTGCGGACGCGAGCAGATGTACCTTGAAATCTCCGGAATAACAACAAATGCACAAATAATAGCGAGGCTGGTATGATGAACCTGGATCTGCACACGAAAATATGTGCATACGAGTAGCATGAATACACCACAATAATACCCAATAAGTGTCAAGCCTAACCTCGGTCGAGTAGCGACGAGGTCAGATCAGGCCCACTGGTAAATAATAAATAAGACATGAGAATATACAGTATAATAAGAGCCTAAAATTTAACAAAAGAAAACACAACAAGGCAACAGTACAACACACATGGATAAACAGCAAGGGATCTCCCGAGATACCGTCTCGTAGTCCCAAAATAAATATACAGGGAGAACTCCCGAGGTACCGCCTCGTAGTCTCAAAAGTAAATATATAGGGAGAACTCCCGAGGTACCGCCTCGTAGTCTCAAAAATAAATGTACATGGAGAACTCCAGAGAAACCGCCTTGTAGTCTCAAAAGTAAATATACATGGAGAACTCCCGAGGTACCACCTCGTAGTCTCAAAAGTAAATGTGTAGGGAGAGCTACCGAGGAACCGCCTCGTAGTCTCAAAAGTAAACACACAGCTCAAACCGACAAATACAACAGTTAACAACAAGATTTCTACAATTATACTGATAAAGAACAAGGAAAAACAGGAAA